ATTATTCGTTTGTCTCATCGCTTTGGTGAAGTGACATGCGTCCTGAGCAGACTACACTCTCTCTTCCTCTCAACTCTTGTTGGCAATACTTCATTACATGCCTTTCTGCCTGCACCAAATGGGAAATGTTAAAAAAAGAAAAAGAAGCAAACTGTTAGCCTGTATAATTTAACTCGCTCCCCACCATCTGACCGCCGCGTTCCACTATCTGAACGCCAGGAACAGGCTAGCAAACTGTGAATAAGCGCAGTTTTCAATTTTTTTTTTTGTCTTACCATTATATACTAGATAATTGAATAGTAACCTAAGAAACAGCGATTAGTTTATTATTATTATTATTTAAAGGCAGTAATACCACTGCACTACTCAACTGCAAAATACTGCAATAACATTGCATGTAGGCAGGGGTAAGCCTGCTTATGAAAGAATATTATAGTATTTTTCAGAAATTGTCATTACGAGGTCTTTTTGGGGGGATGACTTCAGATTTAACATGTTCGGCAGTCATCGCACCATACCTTGGCTCCAACCAAGAGCTCCTCAGTTTCAAAGTCCAGCTCGCTGGAAGTAAGGGTGCAATTATCCCCTCCTGTCTTCATTACATGCTTGAATACCTGTCAAAAGGAAACAACAAACTTGATGACATGAAGAGGTTTATATCAACAGGGATTCAGGATTGGAGGAGAGAGGGTGCACTGATAGCTAAATAAGTAACATTATTGATGTTAAGTTTCCTTTGTAATTTTCAGTTTGGATCATGACAAAAAAGGTTTCAGTTTGTTGTTTCAATTGCCTGGACATATTGTTGCATCCTTTTCACTCCCTGGACTATCAGTCAGCTTGCTTCACTCACCAATTTTTCTTCTCCTTCCCTTGCTGACGTTTTTCCTCCTTTTTCCACCACTGCAGAGTCTCATGTTAGGCTATACAAGACTTGTATAGCCTAAAGTTATTGTAGAAGACACTTAGCAGTCGGGAATCCAGGGGAGGGGCCCAAGGGCCCACCCCTCCCCCCCTCACTTTTAGACCAAACTGAGGCCTGAAGGGCCAAAAAAATTTTGAGACCACCCCCACTCCTTATGTCAGGGTCTGCACGACAGGACTCCCTCCCCCACCTTATCTGAAGGTCTGGATCCCCCACTGCTTACAACTGTCGTGTCTTCTACAATAGATTTTCATCAACATTTATGATTTAGAAATGCAGAAATAAAGGGATAAAAATGGCAACGACAGCTGACCTCAGACTGACTTACTTTGTCATCATTAGCTTCATGGTCAATCACAGTGATCTTATAAAACATTGGTTCATCCTCAAAACAGCATTCCGCAAACCCTTCCTCTGGTGGATCACATGCTATTTAAACAAAACTTCATGTTGTGAAAGATGTGATAATCAGCACTGTCACAAGCATTAGACAAAGAAAAAATCTTGAGTTCCTGACAGGATTCAGACCTATGGAGAGACTTATGGAGGAGCAAGGCCAAACACTGGGGACATTTATTTCCAAGCTTAAAACTCACCACCATTCTTTATACCAACACAGTGCCATCCTAACAATAAGAAGGACGTGTGTCATGTGAACCTAGTATATTGTGGCCTTTTCCTCTGTCTCTGCAACTCAGTGGATAGAGCACCCACCTGCTGTGAATCCTGTTACGGACACATTTTTTTTTGGTCCCACATTTATGACATGCTAACATATACCAATCTTAAAGTTCACCTTCCTTCTTTATTTCAAAACTTTTTCAGCAAAATGCTTGCTCACAATCAACAAAAGATTGTCCATTTAATTATGCACGCCCTTCAAAAGAAAATACTGTATAATATGTGATTTTCATCAGGACAAAGGCTACTGTCTGCTATTTAGGGGAGTGTCTGCATTAAGCAGGAGTCCATGAATTGGGGTTCCACTGTTCTTGCCTAGGCAAGACATCCATCTTGCCATACTTAACTTACTGTCATTTAGTATGGAAATTCTGCAAATCATCAGATAGCAGAAAAATCGAGCACATCCCAGAGCTTGCGCCGTGTGCAGTATATAAATCTCAAACTGAAACGCACAAAAAACTCCTCACTCGTACCAAGCTGTCTACGCTTTATCACAGGCGTTTGCAAGTCATTGCAATACTTATCAAATCAAATCAAATCAAATCAAATAACTGGTTTAATGTCCCTTTTGCAGTTGGAAGACTGAATTGTAGGATACCTTACAAGCTGTGATAAATATACAAATATGCTACATTGATTTACAAGATTAATATTTAACACTAACAAAATTTGAGAAACATTCAGTCCTTGTGGCCATGGGCCTGCTAGAATTCCCTGATCTTAGACACACACTGGTAGATATAGGTACCACTCTGTAGTGTATTAGTGGGTATAATGGGTTACCTGGCCAAACCTTACCTATAAATTTAATACACGAGACTGTCCGACAGTCAGAAAGAGTGGATAACACAGCTTGGTCAAGTGCTGTTTCATACGAAATACCAGGCCAAATGATGGAAAGGGCCCTTTTTTGCATGTTCTCAAGATAGCAAGCAAGATACTTAGGCAAACCAGCAAAGACAGTGGAGGCATACTCTAGTATAGAGCGAATTGGCGTGCAGTAGATATGAACAATATCAGCCAAAGGAACTTTGCACTTCTTGAGTTGTCTCAGTGCATAAAGCCGTCTGCTGGCCTTCTTCACTATTTAGTCGCAGTGCACTGCTGTATAATGTATAAAGTAAAATACGGGATGGCACCAAGGTGTGTATCTGAGTTATTTACGATCAAAAGCACACACCAGCACCTAAGAAACTGTGATTTTGAACTATCCTGCTTTGATACAGTGGCCTATGGAAGGCATTTGCTGCACTACCAAGGGCCTTTTGTTTGGTCAAAGGTCAGTATAGTGAGCTCAGAAACTTGACAAGCCTCAAAGCATTCAAGAAACATATACCGGGTGTGGACCTTTTGAGCCACATAGATAACAATGGTAACTGCTGTGACCTGTGTAGATTTTGACTCGTGGACATTTGCATAAAGTTTTAGGTTTTAGGTAAGATCATTAATTTAAAAGTCTTGTAATAGATAAGTGTGCCAGTACGGAGGAAAGTAGCCCCAATTAGCTAACAGTTGAGCTAAATACATTGACACTAAAATAAAGTCATTATTATTATTATTACTATCATTATTATGAACATCTATGTGTATAAAATGAGCTTTTTAATTACTCACTTTCTCCCATCACGCCATACTGCTTTTTATTCTCTGTCAAAAGAATTCCCTAACAGTCAGAAACATACAGTTGAACCTCTCTACAATGGCCACCTTGGGGACAGAAGAAAGTGGCCATTGTGAAGAGGTGGCTGTTGTAGAGAGGTTAAAACAAGAGTGAATGTATGACTTTCTGCCCTGTCTGCTTTTCCATCAAGCAAGCGTGTCCACGTGATGCCTACATCAAAACATCAAATGACATCACTTTCTCTTGTTTTGCAAGAAACATTAGCAAAACAACAACTTTGCACATGCATCACACTTTTTTGTACATTTCTTTGCTGTTTTTGCATGACTACCATATTAAAATGCCTAATTTCGCAGTTTATTGAGAAAGTAAACAAGCATCAACAAAATTTTTCTCTGTTTCTGTGTCTGGATATGGAGCCTAGGAATTCAACTCCAGTTTGGTTCACCTACATTTGACAATGTAAGTGGGTAGGAATAATGAAAGAGCACAAATTCACAGCAGGCTTGCCTTAACAGTGGCTGATCCAAACATTCAGATAAGGGAAGGGCCTAGTCATCCAGAATCTGAGATAAGGGGGGTTCTGGTCTCAAAAAAATTTTTTCCAGGGACCCAGGCCCCTTCCCTGGATCCACCACTGATTAAAGTAGCAGTTATGAGCGTAAGCAAGTGCGCAAGAGCCTTAACTTGTTTTAAACAGGTTTTACCTGTTCAAAGTTAATTTATTCGTCCAAGGTGCTGAATGGCGTCTTGATCAAAGACCCATATAGTTGCTCGCAGTGGTTTCTCTCCCTTCATAGTGTAGCATCCAGGCTATGGAATCCACTGCTCACAGGGTACCTACTTTGGCCTAGTTCTGACACCTGACACACCTGTTACGGACTTTAACCCCAGGGCCCAGTTGTTCGAAGGCCGATTAGCCCTTAACCCAGGGTTAAATTTAACCCGGGTTTCTCTTTCTTGTGTTCAAAAGCATTTTCTCGGATAATTTTCTCTGTTATATTTAGAGCTTTCAATCATCAACTTGTAGACAAAAAGAATTAAAACTGAAATGCTTTTTAAGCTTTCAAATTTGAATTCAAATCTCGCACTAACCTTGGGTTATCTTAACCCAGCTTTGAACAACCCGGCCCAGGACTTTAACTCGCTTTATTGTCATTATATCTTTGCAATATACCAATCGATCTCAATCTTGTCACTGTCCACAAAAGGTTTAAACCTGGTTTTGATCAGATCGGATCAACCCTTTTAACTCACTAAATATTCAAAGGTTTTTAAAGGAATAAGCTCACTCTGGGAATGATCCCATCTGCACCGATCCCGGTGTCACAGCGTTTTGGGCATCCCCGCGTTTTGGGCATCCCCATTCCCATATCCCTAGCGTTTTTGGTATCCCCTTCTCATATTACTGCAGCGTTTTGGGCATCCCCCGGTACCCTCCCGGGATGCCCAAATCCCTAGCGTTTTGGGCATCCCCTCCAAAACAATTTGGGATTTCGCGGGAAAATCGAAAACCTTTTAGAGATGGATTCCGCTAAATATACAAATCTGTTCCGGTATCTTAAAAATAAGGTTTATCCGGAAGGCTTTACAAAACAGGACAAAACAATTCTTAGAAAATTCGCCAAGAAGTTTGAGTATGACTCAAAATTAGAGTCCTTGTTCTACGTGGCCAAGGAGAAGGATGGCACAGCGCTCGACATCTTGTTATCGCCGAGGAAGATAAAGCGAGGGTCTTCAAGAGTGCCACTCTGCTCCTTTTTCTGGACACGCCGGCCGCGATAACACTCTAAGGAAAATCAAAGAGCGGTTTTACTGGCCTGAATACTACAAGGACACGATAGAAATGGTTGCAGTGTAGTTACAAATGTTATTTATTTGCCAATTGATCGTGTTTTTGAAACACCCGCGTTGATAATCGAAAACATACGCTAAATTTCTTCTGTTTTCAGTGAAATTTGAAAGGGTGAGGCATAATTGCATCTTTTGGTAGGTTGTCAAAGGGCATTGTAAACCGGAGTCCTTCTTATAGATCCCGTTTGTTATTATTTTATGTGAAGCCAAAGATCAGAGGTTATATTTCTGAAGGGTCAAGATGACAGATTTTCTGTCAGTTAACCTAAGTGTGGCCTTGAACATCCATTTATGTCACGCCCGCTGTCACGCCCGTGCGCCAAGCACAACATCTCTTCTAGTGACCATCATTGGAGCGTCCATTTATCATAACTACATAACTACAGGATTTTTTTCTAGACATGCCTTTCCCTTGCACTGCAGGTTTTTTTGGGGGGGAATTGTCACCCCACCTCCGGTTATTTCTGATGATTTGAGGCCTCTGTAATTGTGTGACAGCCTTTCCTGTATCAAGTAGCGCTGCGGGGTTAAGTTGTACAGGCCTCAAATGTCATGAATACTATGAATGCAACACCGCAAAACGCAGTTTTATTCATGTTTACCTTTTGATTCCTTTGTTTAGAATTCTTGTTTTTGGCTGTTTGGAAGCAGACGATCGCAGCTGCCGGCGATTGCGGCATTGCTCGCTTGTAAACAGTTCTATTAAATAAAATTGAAAGCTTTGCAAACAATCAAGTGTTGTGCATCGAAGCGATGTTATGCGGTTGTAAATTTCAGTTTCGTCATGTTTTGAGCCAACGTTTACTGCCTATGGGTTTTTTTCTGCGCAATTAACCCGGCAAAAAGTGTCGGACGATATAATTCTAACATGCATCTACACTATTTAGCCGTAAATTCGTGATTAACAATCCCGACTTTTCCCCAGTCTGAAATAATTTAGGCAAAGTCGAAGTGATCAGCGTTTTGGGCATCCCCCAACGGGGATGCCCAAAACGCTAGGGATATGGGAATGGGGATGCCCAAAACGCGGGGATGCCCAAAACGCTGTGACACCGGCACCGATCCAGTTTCGTGAAACTAGCTGAAGTTTAATGCGAGATATAAAGAGAATTGATGACGCTTTACTTATCTCGGTGAGATTTCCGTACAACCCCATACAATGATCTTTACCTGAAACCAAGAGCCATCGTCAAAGAAACACAAGTAAGCAAACCCCTCCACATTCGCAGCGCACATTCTCACACGACCGCCATTTCTGCGATTAGATCTTCATGTAAACCTTGATGAAGATCTCCCTAGAAACGAGGTTGTGGTTTTCCCGCTTCTTCGTGCAAAGACTTAGCGCAGCTTGGTCATACGGTCAAGAACTGTACGACAAATTGAGTAAAATCCTTATTTTACGTGGATTAAAGGTTGGGTTTCAAGCTGAACTCACAAAGTAAAATTTAAGATTACAATTATCATGTTACAGTCGACTCTCTCTTAACGGACACCTCTATAAGACGGACACCTCTGTAAAACGGACACTTAGAGTTGGTCCCTGCCTTTCTTTACTCCCTTTATTTTACTCTCTATAAGACGGACACCTCTCTAAGACGGACACTTAGTGCCGTTCCCAAAGGTGTCCGTCTTAGAGAGAGTTGACTGTATTACAATGAACAGGAAACGAAAAATCGGGAAAATTTTAAAGAACCAAGTAATGCCCAGGTCTCGTTGGCTGCTGCATTTTATTTTCCCGGGGGTATTCCTGGGAATTCTCCAAATCCTGACCCTATCTCAGTCCGAAAAATGTCATTTTTTACACTAGCCTGAGAAAACAGCCGACATTTCACGACGCCACCTCTGTTTTCCCCGCGAAATGACGTCTGAAGAAACGAGCGAAGAAATTCATACTGATGACGCGTCACTGGGTCACTACCCAGATCTGGGTAGTGATTCTGATAGGTTGTACCGAGTGCGAAATTTGATTCAACCAATCAGAAGAACTACCCAGATCTGGGTAGAGACGCCATGAAATTTCTGCGCTCGTTTCTCAGACGTCATTTGGCGAGGAAATCAGTGTCAAAGAAATTTTCTCATTATTACTTACATTAGAACGCCAACAAAAACGATTTCTTAAAACCCATTTCGAATTCGCATATTTCTCTTTCTTTCTTATTCATCTGGAAAGGAAACGATAAATACGTTCATACATGTGTACATTCCCTTCGGTTTCCTTGGAAAACATACCAGAATCCAGACTAAAATGGGAAAAGTCTATAACCGTTTTCAGACAGGAGCCGAGACTGTGGTTCATGAAGTATTCTTAGCTGGAATTCTTCCCCACGTGGAGTGCGCGCTCTCATTGGTTAATTCGAGGTTACATGACTGTTGTATCTTTATGTGACTGCTGTCCTTTGTACAGATGCACGATGTACCGCGACTTAATTTCTTCACAAATTGCTCACACGAGCAGTATTAAAAGCATGAAACGCGGATGAATCTTAACCCCTAAGCAAGCAGTTTGAACCAGCTTTACTGGGGCAGGAAGGGGAGTTGGCGGCGACTAGAAAAATGATAAGAAATGTATGACAATGACCCATTATTGTTAGCCTGCAGTGCAGGCGTATTTTGGGCGGGCGAGAGCTGCTTGTTTATGTTCGTACTGTTGTAACCGCCATCTTTGTTATGACGGAGGAAGATCAGGGAGAGTAAAAATAGTAACCCTAAGGGTAGGTCCTAGAGCGAAAGAAGGAAAGAGGGGAGGAGAAGGGGAGAAAAAATTTTCTCTTCTCTCTTCCCGCCCCCCACCCCGCTCCTTTTGACTCGCCCCATTTTCTCCCCTCGTTTCGAGTTTCAACGTGCGCTTTGGCGAGCAAAACATTCGCGCGCCCGAAGAAAAACCCTGCACTGCAGGCTACATTATTGTTAACTTGATTAAGTCAGTCCCAGTATGTGACACTACCCTAAAAGTTACCTCACATCAGTTGTATGTGAAAATAATATAATTTTTTTACATACGGGTTGTTGGGAAAGATACATTGTTCAGCTCCCGGAATTTTCCTGGAGTCTGATTTGGACCTAAATGGGACTATTATGGGTATCAAAATGTGGCCTCATTCGTCCCGCACCATGTAAAGCCGCCCACGGGCTTTTTTGGCGCACACAGGACCGCTTGATGAGTGCGGGCTCATTTTCCCGAACAGCGGCTGGTAATCGAGCCTACTTCCGCTTGCCACGCCGAATTTAGACTGTTCACAGTCCCCTATTTTTTCGTGAGATCGTTTAGGTATACCGCGTCTTACCGCCACGGCTATCTTGATTTTCAAATGTACCGAGGGGGCGGGCGTCGGGGATTATAGCTCTAAGTGATTTTTCTCGCTTCCTCCCAAACCGCCCCCGCCCCCTAAGTAGTTTTGACACTCATGCGAGATGGCATCCCGTAACGCAGAGCGCTCGATCTCGACGATCTTACGGAAAAATAGAGGACTGTGAACAGTCTACGCCGAATTTTCACTTTCGAGTTCCCCCATGGGGTATACATCGATCGAATTTCAAGCTCTCTTATGACGATCTGGAGTACGTGATACCATTATTAGAGTTTCAAAAATCGTTCTCGGGAGGTTTCTCTACAGCTGGCTGAATAATTCTTCATCTGAATTTCCGTTAATTCAAAAATAACCGGTGTCCAAGCCTTGCATACAACCAAGAGGAATTTCAGAGAGACCGACTGGAGTCATAACACAAGTAAACAGGTAATAATTTTCCCTCAAGAAAGTGAAAGTTTCACCCTGTATCGTCGTTGGCAAACCTCCAGTTAAATTTTTCTAAATGCTTCAACGGAAATGTAACATCAATAATGCGGGAAGGTGTGATTTAAATTCAGAAACTCTACGCATTTGTCTGCGTATTTGGTGTTCTTTTTTCAAGCCACTACTTTGCAGATGGTAATTGAGTAACCTTACTAAGGTCATTCAAGGTTAACCTGCAATAAATCTCAATTTCTTGGATTGTTTTTTAAATTTACTGATCAGAAGGTTTCTGTTGTGTCGAAGTTTTTTTTTTGTCCTAACCTAGGTAACGCGCCAACTTAAAACATGTTATAAAAAAAACGATGACCGCGTGATTTAGGCTATTTTAAAAGAAGATGAGACACTCTCGTATTGTTTCAGGGGTCATTTGGACTTTCGACTATCTATTTAAATACTTCTCACTGTACAGTCAGAGGGGGTACTCCTGGGAATTGTCGGTGGAGGTGTGCCTTCCGGTTTTCCACGTTTTCAGACCAAACTTCTAAAATCCATACCCGTACTCATTCTCAGACCTGGTCTTTAGGCAGAAATTATTTCATCAATACCAGGAGCAATACTTAGTTAGAGCGCAAACAAAAAAAATTCTTCAAAGGCATTTAGAATTCGCATATTGCTCCTTCTTTCTCATTCATTTACAATTGAAACGATAAATACGTTTATACACTCCCGTAGTTCCCTCGAAAACCATACCCGATTCCAAACCAAAGTGTATACCCGTTTTCAGACCAAAAAGGCCCAAAAACCATACTCTTTGGGGAGGGGCGGATCTAGGGGGAGGGTGCAGGGGGTGCGCAACCCCCCCCCCCTGGGATGACCTGCGGCCGCTTTCTAATTAACACTGTGCAGTCGCGTCACAGTCATACAAAATCTGCTCTATCGTTTGATATGTATTCTCAGCAGTTCATAGTATGTTATTTCCTAGTCAAAAGCCCTCTTCTTCGTATTCGCTTTTAAAATTTCTTACGTCATCAGTCAGTTAGTGGTGCACCCCCTCCTAAAAAAAATCCTGGATCCGCCCCTGTTGGGGCGGCACATACCCATATGGCTCATATAAGGGAGTACCCCCAGGCTGTACAGAAGCTTTGCTAGGGTGGTGCCAATGAGCCCCAACCCTCTCTTAGAAAAAAAGGTTTTCATTTTGTCACCCTGGTAAAGACACTGAAGACTCAGGGATTAACCAGTAACTTACTGTCCTCACCAGATAAAAAAAAATCATAACTGTTATGTGCTTTTAATTTCCCTAATGCCATTAAGCGTTATGAAAGAACATTTAAGTACTAATTTAAGAACTCTAACTAGCTGGATGCGACAATAATTCGTGAATATGAATAAACTAAAACCCCAATCCTGTTCAGCAGGCACAACTTTGATTTGCCTGGTAAAGGTGTTTCACCTTCCCACCTCCCCCCACCCCACCCCCTCACCGGGTCCTGCACAAAGTGTTTGGAGCAAAGACTAGGTTAAGAGCATACACTCAAAAAACACTTAGATTTTTCATTCATGCTGTATTCTCAACCAATGAACTTGCGCATGATCAATTTACACTTAGATTCAGTCACGCTGTCTTCTTAGCCAAAGAACTCGCGCAGAATCAATTTTACATCATAAAAGAATGGGGTTTTTTGTAAAGTAAGCGCCAGTTTGAAATTCTCTCTCATTCGAGATCAATTGCTCTTTTATATTCTTTTTTCATGTTATAGAATGATCAAGATAAAAGCACTGCAGGCAGTAACATTTTTGCTGTTTTGCAACTTGGTCGCGAGCGTCAATATAGAGAAGGATACTGGTGTGGCTGAGTTTGTGGCTGCTGTGTACGAACATGCTTTTGTCACAGTGGAAGACAGAGCGACTGTACGCCCCCGGAAAGAGGCAAGAGCGATCATCATGCAAAACATGGATATATATGAAGAACAAATGCAAAAAGCTAAACAACAGGTAAAAAAAATCATAGCTGCGATTATGGATTGATAGACTTAACCATTCGATCCAACTTTATATAATTTGCATTAGAAGATAACAAAGTTTTGAGATGACAAAGAGCCTTTAAAGAATTGAAAAGTTTGAAGTTTATTGATCTTCGTAGAAGTTGCAAATTAAATTAAATTAAATTAAAACAAACATCTTCACACAAAATCCTCTGCTCGATATAGCTTGGCTAATCGAGGAGTCATCGAGGCGGGCAGAGGAAAACATAAAGTAATTTAACTAGGAAGAAATTATGAAAAGGAAAGAAAAAGGAAGATAGATCTATATAAATGACACAAGAAGACGGACTGAAGTTATTACAATACAACGTTACAAAATATACAAACTTATTGTACAGAATTGTTACTTCAGTGTACAAATTGACCGCTTGCACTTCGGCGAAAATTGCAAGATGTTTCTTCTCTTGTGACGACCAAGTCTGGTTTTCGAGTCAGCCATGAGTCTTTAATGTTTAGTGCTACAGTGCCACTTGCCTGACAAATCGAGTGGAGAAAAAGGTCGAGAGTACCTCCTTTTATTCGTTATCTACAGTCACCCCTCTTTGTTCTGTAGGCTTATACATGTATTATAAATTAAGGTGCTTGGGTGACACGAAGGGTTTTAGCTGACGCGGAAAAGCAAATATTCAAACTTTTCATCTTTGTTAAGGTGAATCCGTTCTCGAAATCCGTGGAGTGGATTTTTTTATCTAGAATAGTCCGATAGTCCAGGTAAAAGATTCAAGACCACAAAATTGTTGTCGAGTTCATCTTCCTTTTACGCCCGCGGCAAAAAACAAAAATTAAATTTATTGACTGACCCTGAGTGAAGTAGATGTGTATACAAACAGTACAAACACGGTACTGAATGGTTACAACAAAACAATGTCATGCTTATTATCATTCAATTTTTCAAAAATTCTTTTTTTAACAGAATGCTAGTATCATCGTGTTTCCCGAATATGGCTTGACCGGGTTTGGCTACACACGTGAATCCTTTAAACCCTTCCTGGAGAACATTCCTGACCCACAAAAGGTTAACTGGAATGCGTGCCAAGATCAAGAGGCAAACTCCACTACACCTATCTTATACCGCCTCAGCTGCCTGGCCAAGACCTACGATATGTACCTTGTGGTCAATATGGGAGACATAAAACAATGTAATAACAGCATTGATGAAAATTGCCCAGCTGATGGCCGCTACCAGTACAATACAAACGTGGCGTTTGATAATAAAGGCAAACTTGTGGCGAGATATCACAAGCAGCACCCTTTCTTGAACGAGATGAAAGTTGTCGATCGTCCAGTCAAGCCTGAATACATCACCTTCGAAACTCCTTTTGGAAAAGTTGGAACATTCATTTGCTTTGATGTCCTGTTTCATAACCCTGCAATACCATTGGTGACTCAGCATCAAATTGATCACGTGGTCTTTCCCACGGCTTGGTTTGATGTTCTCCCTCTGTTTGCAGCCATTGGATTTCACGGTTCGTGGGCTCAAGGAATGCAAGTAAATTTCCTAGCGGCCAACACTCATGTACCAGCATTCTTAAGCACGGGTAGTGGTGTCTATAGTCCCACTGGTGTTAAAAAATACTACAGAAGCCTTTCAGCCAATGGTTCTCTCTTGGTTGCCACCTTGCTGAAAAACCCAAGGAGTAGGCAGAGAGATGTGCCTGAGGTCAACAATAAAGAGATACAGCCAACGAAAGCCAGCGAAGACTCGTTCTTCTCCGATTTGTTTGGTGATTTGTTCTTGTTCAGAGAGTTAACCAGACCTGAAGGCACTTTGGATGTTTGTTACAATGATAGTAACGTCTGCTGCTCTCTCACCTATAAGATGGCGGGCAAACGTGCCGACGAACTGTATGCTTTGGGCGTTTTTGACGGTCTTCATACCAAAGAGGGACAGTATTACTTACGAATCTGCGCCCTTATTAAATGTCATGGATTAAATCGCGACTCGTGTGGAAAACGCACATACAACGCAAGCACGATCTTCGACTCCTTCACTCTCCGAGGACAGTTGAAGACGCCATATATTTTTCCGCAGGTGGTGGCCGATGGCGTCTCTCTTCTCCCTGGAGAGTGGGACAACAGTATGCCTGTCACGCAGATGCAGACCAAGCAAAAACTGTCAAAAGGTCTATTGACTGCAGCACTGTTTGGACGAGTCTATAAACTGGATGACGGCCCAGTTAACCCTACCGAGGTATCCCTCGCCACACCCCTTGTGTCATCCAAGTGCTTCCTTGCTGCCTTGCTGTTAGTGAAAGCTTGTAAGTTTGTGTTTTGATCGACTGCGAAAAATGACTTCCTTCTTCAGTAGATTTTGACCCATTAGAATCATAAAAACAAAACGCTATATGCATGCAAGATAATCTCTCGCTTCATGTGCTATAGTCCTTTCACATCGAATTTAAAGCTAAAATAAAAATAATTGATGTTATGTTGAAACAGGAAAGACTTTCCTCGGGTGCATCATAAGTCTTAATAATTAAGATCATCAGAGCCTTTTATATGTTTTAAATAATATTTTTCTATTCTTTAAAACATCCAAAATTGAAAATACAAGATGGTGGTGATAGTCTTGTCATGTACCGACAATTAAGACAAGCGTAATTTATTGTCAGTAAAGATAATTATATGGTACGTATGGGTGGTTATTCCAGACAGCCTACAACGTTGATTATGTAATAGTTTTTATTTATTTGTATTTCATGATTATTTCTTCCTGCTGGTAGAATAAAGATTATCGTTGTTGTTGAGCTGATTGTCTTTTGATACCGTACACTATTCTTGGCCCTCACTTTCAAGCCAGGGGGAATTCCGATATAAAAAAGTGGAGGACGCTGGTCGGAAAATAAGGATTAAACCCCTGAGACTAAACTGGGCGTAGCCTGTTCACAGACCCTCTATTTTCTGTTCAAAGTCCGTTGAGCTTGCAAGATATTTTTCTTTCTCGCGCTCCGCGCTGTCCGATGTTTTCGAAAAGAACGAAAATAAAAATAAAACAACGTCTGTATACAGGCTAAACTGGGCGTGGCTAAGGCCGTATTTGACCTCTTAAGGAGACTTTTACACGAAATGGCGGCTTTTTATATGTAGATATATTTTCGCGCTCATGGCACCCGTAAACGATACCTGTATGGGTAAAAATATATAACGTAAGAGCCTCCCGTTTAAAAATTATTTTTGGTCCTTAACCGATCCTTAACTGGTCAAAAAACACTTTCGTGATCGAGAGAAACTATTTGGTTGTGTTACCCATCTACCTGTTGCATGTAACCGGTAAAAGAGAACTCTCCTTTTATACAACGTTACCCTGGGAGGAAGAGACTTTTCCTTTGCGCGGTTTCCGGTTTCGGTCAAGCCCTCGCATACATATCAGTAAAGAGGATTGAGAGGTGTGTAAAGGGTAGGCGCGCCTATTGGAAGGGGGGATGCACTTACTTGAAGGGGCTTTATCCGGGATAATTAGACGTATATAGTTGGCTTAAATGGGGTACTGGTAGCAACGGTGACAACTGTATCCTAGGAAGTAATCGGCTCTTGGTGTTTACTGAAAACTATGATTGAAGGACGGAACCAACTCTTATCGTTCGTTCTAGGGGGCCATCTTATAGAGTTGTTCGTTGAGAGAGTTTATATTTATTAGGTTGAAGTAGACTCAAAAAAGTCGGAGACGTGAAAATTATAATAGATATGTTGTGGTTCAATTTTATCTTTGTTGTAAATGTTATTTCCCTTTGTTTTGGGGTATGGTAATGATTTGAAAGAAAGGAAGATAAAATTTAAACCAAGGATAAAATCAAACCACAACATATGCACCGCCTTTACTACTGAGATATTTTGAGCCTTTTCCCCAATACATTGTCTTCAGAAACTGAATATTCACTCTCTGCTCTTATTATTGAAATCTCCGGAAGGTGAAGGATTGTGATATTGCCGTTGAGTAACTGTTTTGGTTAAAGCATTTTACCATCCCCTAGCATTACAAGCAGGTGAAAGGAAAATAAAATGAAAGGAGAGTAAGACTATGTCTACATAATTCCCGTTACCCCCACACGGCAAGGATAAATTAAATGAATTTATCACATACTAACTACATCCTATAGGCAAATTCACCAGTTCATTCTCGACATTCTCTCAAACCGAAATCCGTTTCCATTCCTTAAAGTCGACGTACTGCCAATCAAAAGCACATTACAAACTGACCTTTATTTCAAGCCTACAAACCGGATACACCGACATCTCCATCTAGCCACCCGCCTCGCGCCATCCCACGCTAAAAAATTGATCCCTTTCAGCACATGGCCTTACGATTAAGAAGAATTTCAGAGGAGACGAAACTTTAACTTACTGTTGTATTTTTATAGCAACCGCTGTATACATGTTTCCGTCTCTAATCTTTCTCTACCAATCGCATTTTATCTTTACTTTTGAATATTGTTACCATTTGGTCCCTTCGCTTCGTTCTTTCCTAGCCCCTGATTCCTGGGGGCCGATAAATGGGCCATTCTGAAGTCCGATCAGCCTTTTAAATGTAAAAGTTCCTCCTCCCCTCCCCTACCCCGTCAGTTTCTCTTTTTTCCTCAAATGTGCGCTGCTAGCGTGACTTTGCATATTCCTAACTTTTCGAGACTTTCATGTGCATTCCGCAATGTTTTGTAGGATGTGTAGGTGACTCACATTTCATCAGTTAAAATTCACTGTTATGCAAGGAAATCAGCTCAAATTAATCGTTTCTTCTTCCGCTAAGAGGACAACTGGTCGCTGCTCAGAGCGAAATTAATCACAAGAACATCAAATCACTCCCTGTTTCAGTAATAAGAGTAAAGTACGTCTAATAACGCGGTGGAATATACAGGTAGGTCTCTTTCTTGGCTTTTAATTTCCCTTCAGTACACATATTTTGCTCATTCGAAAGAGATTCTTTTCACTCACGAATTTATACTGACAAACTCTTAGTTGGGAAGTAATAAGGGCGCTTGGAGTTGACAATGTTCGCCGTGATTTTGTCAAGAAGGCGTGCATTTACAGTTTGTGTTTACATCAGTACAGGGCAATGGCAATTCAAACTTTGTCTGCTTCATGATTTTCTGAGCTTTTACTCAGGGTTTTTTGCCTTCTTCATGGAACGGTAAAATCTATTAGTTATAATATAGGGAGTGATACGTAAGATGCGTAGGATATCGTACTATTCATTCCTTTCCAGGGGTAACTAGACAGACGCAATATCGCTTCCAATTCGAGCGGCTCAAACACCAATTAATGGGTTGAAAAAAAAAGGCGCGGGGACTGATTTTCTGTGTACCTGTTCCTGAAACGTTATAAAACAAATTTTCGAAAAAATGTGATGGCTCTAAATAAATTCTCTAATTTTTGAAGGTGGCAGGAATCCCTGCTTACTAACTTTATTCTGCTTAGCTTAGGGGTGGGGGATGTGTTATACCGGTGAGATTTTGGGTTGCTTTTAACTTAAAAACGAGCCGAGCTGTGTACTTAAAATAACTAAAAGGTAACGACTTTCACCAGACAAAAACTAAGAACAACTGCTTTACTACTTCAGTATATATATAGTTATTCAAGACCAATATCACAAATTGATAATGGTCAAATTGCTTTATATCGAAGTGTAGTTTATTTTTAGTGGGTACAATGGATAATTGCTTCAATCTCTATATAGGACCTAGATTTCATTGTCAACGTTAATGTCAATCATGTTGCAGAAATATTATCAGACACAAAAATTTTCTATGCACTGAAACTGCCATCAGGTGTTTTTTTATTTACTGTATAATAAGCTTATATGATAAAATGAAGCATGTCATTGATAACAGACCCATCGGAAGCAAGGTAATGTTCCGCCAGTACCACGTGCAGGATAACAAAAAAACAGGGGAAACTTTCATGCTGATTAACTACAAACAGTCCCACGCGACTGTTCTGGCCTGTATTGAACTTACACCCTAAATATAAATATCATTGGTTTCAGCCTGCTGATTGTGGAGCTTGCGCGTGCAACATTAGAGACGACTTTTCCCTTCTTTGGTAGTCGCAAGAGAGGATAAAGCTTTATCCTCTCTTGGAAATCACGTGACTTTACTTTACGATAACAAGCTTCGAGGCTGCATAATTCCTCATATCCTACGAAAGCCGAGCTCAATAATTCAAATGTTTCAAAGTTCAAACAATGTCGCACGCTATTGGACGATATCTGGAAATATCTGTACTAATACAAAAAAATAGAACAAGCATACCTAAAAGAATATTGAATTCAACCATAATTATGTTGTTTTCCTAGGTTGCACATCTGTAAAGCACGTTTTTATGGCTTATGGCTTCTGCTTCATATGTACCTACATCAACAAAAGAAACAACCAATTATGCCAGGCTATGTCGTGTTCTTGTCGATTTGGGAACTTGTGCCCTCAGGGATTGCTTTGATGCCGTCTTCACACCACCAACTCTTCACAAGGTCTTGGCAGCCAGTCAACCCACGTTGCAGTCTCTTAGATCACGAAGAATCATCAATGTCACACAATGGGGAAATCTCTTTCCTTCAACCCCTGCTTCAGTGTCCTCAACAGATTTCGACATCACCTTACTCATGATTCTTTTTAGAAACATATGTGGCATGGCTCCACCACTCACGGGATGGGACGTCCTGCCTGCGGCCACGGACGTCAGCCGTGAAGCAGACATTGCACGAATCAAATACTTCAGAAATAGCATTTATGCTCATGCCGATCACGCTTCTATCGATGATGCAACTTTCGACAAATGCTGGAAGGAAATTCGAGACACTCTAGTACGACTAGGAGGAGTTAAATACAAGGTGAGAGATGAAAAATGTTTTTGGTGTTTTGTTTGAACACTGACTAGGTTTGATACGTTACTTCCCTGCATTCACAGTGTAATCATGTGTAATGAAAGCTAAAACACTACTCAGACTAGTCACACCAGTGCAGTGATTCATATGTTGCCCGTTCTATTTGAAGGACTCTGTTGATTTTTTCGAAGTTTGCTGTATGGATCCCGATATGCAGCAACATTACAGAGAACTTCTTCATCAGTGGAAAAGTGATGAAGATAACATAAAAGATGAATTGAAACAAATTGTCACTAATATGAAAGAATTTGGTACAGGCATTAAAGAAGTGAGCAGCGATGTTAAAGAAATTGGTATCGACGTAAAAATCCTAACAAAAAAGCTTGATGACTTGGTGGCATCAACTGTGATTTCTGCCAGTGAAACAAATGAAGAAGGTGAGTATATAAAGACTTTTAACGACCTAGTAATGGCGCCAAGGAAAACACACACTGCAAAAGGCGACTCATATGCTCTGCTAAAAAAAAAGGGTTTGAATTTCAGTTAGTAAGTTGCTCTGGTCTCCTAACCTTTCTTCTTTCTCAAATAAATTACATTTTGAGACACCCACCACCAATGGCGATGAAAGATGGTTCGTTTCAAACGTTGCCTTGTAATGGGCTGTACCTTGTAGGGGTTGATTATAAACGCACGTGACTTTATCCCATTATTATATAGAGCAGGCCGGCCCGGAGGGAGAAGCCATGTTTACTGAGATTGGAACTCCGTGAGCGTGGTCAGTTTGTCACCCAGTGTCGCTGCTGCTTTGTCGAGTTCGCCAGATCGTTCGCCAAACTGGCCCAACACGCGTCATTCCGTGGAAAATCTCCAGACGGGTTTGACGGGATCCTTGCTTTTAACGAGCCGAAATCTCAATCTGTTGAACCAGCCTGCCTGATGTAATCAGAGCCTTAGGGTCTGTCTTTCTCTGGAGCCTAGACTGCGTAGCTGGTCGAATTATTTTTGCGCGTGTGCGAGTTTTGGCAGCGAAGCTGCCATTCTCGTGGCTTTGCCGTGAAAAGCGAGCGCCGAAGGCGAGAGGGATTTCAAAGCGTCTCCTCCCCATTCTCCGCACGGCTTCGCAGCTCCTCGGGCAAAACTTTCCTCGCGCAAACGATCCAACCGGAAACGCAAGCTATTTGGAGCCATTTGGAAGCCATTTTGAACTTGAGTTGAAATTTCAATGGGAAATAAGTACGACTCAAAATTTAAAATTTGTTTTTGTGTAGTTTCACAGTATAAAAGTCTCTTCCTCTTCTTGGTGTTCTTATGCTTAAGCTAGTGTACTGTTTTGCTTGACCTCAAAGATCAAGTTAGAGCTTCCTCTTGGTCCATCTGCACGCTAAACGTGTGTGAACACTTCAAAAGACACAAATAGTTTCTACGAAAATGTGTAAGCGTGGTAGGTCATGAAATGGAAAAACATGTTTAAGTCTATTAGACGTGTAGTTTCCTTAACGTGTTTCCTTCAAAAGTTCCTAATTCAAGAGAATAGAAAAGAATTTTTCATATTCTCTTTTACGTACTTTCCTTCCTTAACATTATTAATAATGAACTAACCCCATTTTATTTCTTTTTTCATAAGCTAATGGGTTTAAACCGAAAGAAATATTGGATATCTCATTGATGTGCAGAGAGAAATTGCACGAGAATAAGCTTCTGACGTCATTCTGTAAGCAGTGTAAAGTGTGTATTTGTGACAAATGTAGACAAACTCGTCACAATAATCACATGACGATGGATATCCACCAAGCCGCAGAAGAGTCCAAAGTCGATATTGAGGAGATTGTAGAGGACATGAAGAAAGAGATTGCTGATTACAATGAGCGTAAAGAAAAAACGAACGACTCCTTGAGAGAAAGAAGAGAGAAGATTGCTACAGCACGTAATAAAGTAATGACTTCTGTTGAGGAACTTGTTCGACTTTTACATGAACATGAGAAGGCTATCATAACCAGTTTAGATGTCATTGATGGAAAAGAACAAAGAGAGCACGCAGCGCAACTAGAACACTTTCAGATTTCTATGAATCAGTTACAACAGCATGTCGAGTGGTGCCAGGGCATCTTACAGAGGAAGAAAAGTGTTGAAATTTTGAAAGAGCATCATGCTCTCATTGGACGGTGCAGAGGTCTTTTAAGTGCAGAGAAACGGAACATTTATAAGCCATCGCATGTCAGATACCAGATAAATGAAGAGCATGTGGATATTGTGAGAAGCGCAGCTCCGGCGGTGGGTCGAATTGTTGTTAGTAGCACAGATGCTTTGCAGTCAGTAGCTGAAGGGACAGGGTTACGGAAAGGTGAGGTCGGAAGCGAAGCAACAATTACAATAAAAACAAAAGATTTTGATGAAAAACAATGCTACGATAAAAACGATCAAATTCAAGTAATAGTTCAGTCCCCGTCAAAAGAAGTAGTCAGGCACATCATTGCACGCGGAGAAGATGGTGATTATAGCGTGACTTACACACCAGACAGTGTTGGACAACATGAAGTGCAGATTGCGGTCAACGGTCAATCATTGACTGGTAGTCCATGGCGTGTTCATGTGACTCCATATCATTATAAATATTCTTTTTCTTTTGGTTCGCTTGGGAAAGGACGAGGGCAGCTTGATTGGCCCAATAGTATTGCAATAGATGACACGTCTGGGAATGTTGCAGTGGCAGATAGTAATGGGGTACACCTATTTAGTTCAGAAGGAACACATCTAAGGGATATTGGTACTAACAAGTTAACAGGAGCCACGTCAGTAGCCTTCAAGTCAAGTGACCTCTTAGTCATTGCTTCTGATAAGATTTTCTGTTTCAATGCCGGAAGTTATAAATCTGTAAAATATGTCACCAACAAACACCTGAAGACACCACACTGCCTGACTATTGCACCTAACGGTTGCATGGTGGTGTGTGACGAGGGTGACCTTACAGTTAAGGTTCTGTCCTCTGATGGCTCGCGGCTGCTACACACTATCAATGATCCTGGCTGTGCCAACCCACGCTTTGCATTGTGTCATCAGAAGATGATTTTCGTTTCCTATTATCTAGAAAGTGATGTTAAGGTATTTAGCAAGAATGGAAAGTTTTTACACAGCATCTGCAATCCTGAGTCAGGTGTTCCCGCTGGTTTTGCTATTGATAAATTCAATAACCTGGTGGTATGTGATCGTTGGAAATCTGATGGGTTTCATATTTTTACCCTTAAAGGCGAATTTGTAAATACAATAGAAGGACAACACACTGAGCTTAGTGCACCTCGTTCTGTTGCTGTGTCAAGCACCGGTCAACTTTTTGTTACTGATGTCAACAAAAATTATGTTTATGTTTTCCAGTGAGAATCAGATTTTTTATTAAAGTGCTTCTTGCAGCAATTTTAGTTAAGTGGAATCCCGCTAATACGACCGGCCGCCCTTCGACCTTGGAAATTTGGTTGTGTTAACGGGATCGCAATATTAACAGCGGAGGGTAAAATTATTATGTAACATTCAAAAATATGCGAATAAAAGTAATTTAATGTTGACGATGGAATTGCCGCATATAATTCATGTACCTTGAAAACGTTTTTCATCTTGGTTGCTGATGTGTAAGCCGATCCCTCCAGGCATTCGACTGATCGTGAGAATCGAAGTTGCGACTGGTGACCCCAAAAGTGAGGCAGATGGCCGTCTGTAGTAACAATGGGCAGATGGAATAGCCAAGTTCCCACCTGACCGATGCTGTTAATTTGTTCATCAGAAGTTTTTAAACAGTAGGATTTTCATAGTTTGGATAATATAAGTGTTACGGTTTGATTTCTTGGATATGGGTTCCTCTGATCATTATAAAGCAAATCATGGAGGTGTTCAGTTTCATGAACCTGCTCTTAAAACATAGCCTGCGATCCAATAGGCTCATCTACATCTCTGCTCACGGTCTTTTTTTAAAAAAACATCTGAACCGCAGGTTAGTTAGAATAAAGCCTGTGGTGCTATGACAACCTTCAAAACTTCAGGAAACAATGAAAACATAAATTTGCTGTTATCATTCTTTCAACCCAAGCAACCTCGTTTCCAGGCACCTTCTTTCTTTCTCGAGTGAGGGAGAGAGAGAGAGAGGACTCTGTAAATGAGTTGGAGTCGCATCGCGCAGCAATTAACAATATGCAAATACATTATTAGCTACGCACAGACAAAAAAAGTTACCTACGGGGACGAGAATCACAGCCATAAAAACCACTTTACAGAATGAGTGTTTTAACCCCGGTGGGGGGTACTTTAGGAATTTCTGGGTGGGGATGTGCCGCTGGGACCCTGGAACCCTTAACCTATACCAGAGCTAATTCAGCTGAATTTTGCTACCCCATACTAGTAGTAGAGGAGGGACCGCTTACTCCTTTTCTTTGCGGGGGAATGCCATTAACTTTCGGGGGAATACATTAACGCCGGTGACGTCATACATATCATTAACATAGGATGATGTCATAGTTTAAATTAATGACCATGACGTCATGCATTCCATTAAGATAGGATGATGTCATAGTTTATTTTTAGCTGGCAAGGAGCAAGTGACGTCAGAATAACTATTTTCAGATGGATTATGTCATAGTTTATTTTCAGTAGGCAAGGAGCAAGTGACGTCAGAATTTTCTGGAGTTGACGTCATCAAAAAATGTTGTGATCATAATCTATAAACAGAAAAGTGATTTTTATATAATTAGCTTTTTTCGATAGTTTTCTTATTGGATATTGTGGAAACTGTTATGTGTTCAAAATAAAAGCGGGCAAATTTTTTGAACGTGTTATCTTTGCAGATTATACTAAATTAAAATCTTTAATCATTAAATTATTTTCACTAAAAATCGGTTATAAGCAAAACCAAGACGCGGAGGTTAACTGAAAAATCTTTACTTCAAAAGAAGGGAAAAGGAGGTTAAGCGAATGCGAGATTGTACTAATTGTTCAAGCAAAACATGAAAACGAGGTCGAAGCTCAGCGAAGCGAAAAACTGCCTATCAAGCAAAAATGTCAATCTTTGTTTACTTGACTCTGTGAAAAGTATTGCACAGGGTATAAAAATTCTATAGAAAACAACAGGTGGTTCTATAGTAAACCCTAGCTCTTTTGGTTCTTAAATCAACTCCATTCTTGTTCCTAATGAGTGGAAAGTTTATTTATAAAAATAGGAATAAGAGATGCGATCCCCTAGCAACACAGGTCTTCTTATTTAGCGCTAAACATCGGATATATAACAAAGCACATACACACATACAAAAAGTGGAGCTGAAAACTCTCTATTTCAATTTTGACTCACCATTACGAAAGCGTTTTCTCCGTTCCATCTCCGGGAAACGACTAACTATTGAAATCTCAGCGCTTGATGAGCTTATGGTTTTGTCAATTTACGCGCCGTTAGCGTTAGTCAGTTAATTATGCGGGCTAACAAGCCTAAAGTTGAATACAAATTAGTTCATCTCTACAGCTAGACCCAAGGGAGCACCTTGACTTATTATTGTAAAAGCACAAACAATTGATAACTTAACAAGGATCAATTTAAACACGCGACAAATAAATTGACAAGACACGAGATACAGTTTTAAAAACTTTATTGAAAACCAGTGACCAAAAGAGTCAAATAAACAGCGATTTGGAAGGGATGGAAATTAATCATCTTCTTCGCCCATGGAGTACTTGTAAGGTCTAACTCGAAATTTCTTATGCCGACGTTTCTTCAGCTGTTTGCCATGAGATTTATGATCATCCAAATAATTTAGAAATTGAATCCGACGCCTCTTGCGCTTCGGGCCTTGTGGTGATGGGGTTTCTACTGTGGGAGGAGGGGTCAGGAAAGCAGGATTTAAGGGTGGTGGAGGGGTAAGGCTTTCTTTGTCAGGTTTTTGAGAGATAGCCGCTTGTGTTAATTCAGGTGTTACATTAACGGGGTTGAGGGGAGTCGAGAATGCTGTCGTTGATGTCGAAGAATCTTGTGTCCTTGATGTTAAGTCTGGAACAGTGCTGATTATTTCTTCCGGTCGTGTTCTTGTATTTAATTGTTCTTTAAAAGCCAGGTATCTGTTTTGCAACTGAAAGTATCGTTTAGCTTTTTCATCGTCCCGAAGATCGTTTCGAGAAAGCACGTCATCCATGTTGCCCTGTATTTCTTGCATAGCTGGAAGAAGTGGGACAGGTGAAAGAGTTTGCTGCTTTAGATATTTTAAAAGCTCTTGAGGAATATTTTCTTGAAACCCTGCTTGGTTAAAACCTTCTTCACTGGGCAGGACGTTTGTTCGCAGTCGACAATTATCTTGGGTAGTAGTTTTCAGATCAATCAGCAGATAACCAAAAGGTCTTTTTACAGCCTCCTCGTACTGATTTAAAAAGAAATCAGTTTGCCCGGGATACATTTGCTTGGCAAGAGTCAAGATTTGCAATTTGTCTCCTGGGTTCTTGAATAACACCAAATAATGGCTGTTTAGGCTTATGCTGCGACTACCTTTCCCCTGGTGAAATAGATTCTGCACGATATAAATCACGCTTAGATTGCGATGATGAGAACCACGAGTAAACAGGTTCACAATTCGCTTGTCTTTACTGGCGTCAATCATCTGATCATCAAACACGATCAAATTCCGTTTGTTCACGTCAAAATAGGAATCCTGCTCCAAAGCCCTAGGAATTCCCTTGACGAATTCAATGTTTGGCATGGCGATTAACATTTGTGTATACGCAGGCTGCCATTGTGAATAACACCAAACGATCCTCTCTGGGGGAGGGTAAATGGTCTCTGAAGCTTGTTGCAATAGCGATCGAACCCAGGCCGTTTTTCCCGACCCGGTCATTCCGGCAATCATGGAGGTGAAAGGGTGCTCGAAGCGAAACCGCTGACACTTCTGTGAAAATATTGGAACTGTTTGAAATGGGGTGAGACCAGCATTGCGGTGTTTAGACATCACGTGCCTTTGCATATTATCTTTTCTACTAAAGGACATTTCGCAGACAGAACAGAGCCAACTCATGTTAACTCCTCAGGAGCAAAATGGAGACTGAAAAAGAGGTAGAATGTTGCGCATTTATATAGGTTTTCAGGCCACAAAATTCTATTGTTTTCCTCCCCTAAAACCACCACTACCACCACCATCACATTTCTATTGCTTTTCCTCCTCCTCCTCATTTCTATTGCTTTTCCTCCTCCTCCTCATTTCTATTGTTTTTCCTCCTCCTCCTCATTTCTATTGCTTTTCCTCCTCCTCCTCATTTCTATTGCTTTTCCACCTCCTCCTCCTCCTCATTCTATTGTTTTCCCTCCACCACCACCACCGCCATCACATTTCCATTGTTTTTCTCCACGACAGTCAATAAAAGACTGCAAACTACTATGATAAGTTCAGTTTGTCTCAATGTCTCAAGTTGTCAAGAACAATCGTGGTTTTCTTCAATTCTTAGCTGTTTGTCCAGCTCATCAGCGACAGTTTCTTTTACGGACAGCCAGTCCAAAACAATTACATGCATTAGTCCAAGTCTTATACAATATACTTAAGGAATACATTCTTATCCCCGAAGAAAATAAGCGGAACGTGTTGCCATATAAGGATGCTCTAGTAAACCTAGCAGAAACAAATGTACCTTACAAAACGAAGAAGCGAATCCTTGTACAAGAGGGTGATGGTTTTATTCAAGACCTATTGGTACCTGCTGTTACAAGCCTAGGATTTTTGATGCTATAAAAGAGGAAACGAAACTATAAGTTACTCATTTGAAGCAACGGTCTGTCACGGGTACTCATCAAAATGAAGAGAAAGATAGATTTGGTTGAAGAAGAACACGAGAGTGAACATGAAGAAAGTGAAAGTTCTGGTGATGAAAGCGAAGATGAAGAACCAAGAATAAAAGATGTTTTGAGTCATCTTTCCCGAGCAGTGTCGGAAAAGCGTGCTTCTGATTTGCTGCATAGTATGGCCGCCTCCAAAGATATTCTTTTCTGGACTCCCAGCGGACAATTACTTCGAAATAAACGCACTATTCCCGTCACAAACATCGCCGAGCTAGTTGAGTATGTGTTACTCCCTCATAACAATGAGGTTACCAAGCCTCGTGCGCTAAATACGTTTCTAGATGGACTTGCAGAGTTAGGAATCGATAAAGGTTTAATCAAAAACAAAAAGTTGTTAAGTGATTTAATAGAAAAGGAAAAAGGCTATCGAAATGTAGAAAATACTTCCGATAATGAGAGTAATAATGAGGAGAGTTCATCGGATATTGAAAATCAGGAGGAGGAGGAGGAAGTGGCTTCTGAGAATGGCGTTGAAACTGAAGGCACCCAAGTGAGCGACAACGACACTGAAAACGATAGTGAGGAAGCAGAAAGTAGTAGCCGTGAAACGTCCACCACCTTTCACTCTAAAAGTCCCTGTGAACGTTGCGAAAACTCTAATGTGTACTCCACATTGATCATGAAATGTCCTAAATGCTTTTGGCACGATAACTACATGCGATCACCAGATCCCCGAGGAGAGAAAATACATCAAAGAGGGCTTTCTTCGGTGTCACGATTGTGGATTAATTACACACAAAAGCGCCAAGACGTTCGAAACCAATTTTTATTCACCTTCTAAAGAGGAGAACGAAGAAGAGGTCTAATTTCCATCCCTTCCAAATCGCTGTTTATTTGACTCTTTTTGTCACTGGTTTTTAATAAAGTTTTTAAAACTGTATCTCGTGTCTTGTCAATTCATTTGTCGCGTGTTTAAATTGATCCTTGTTAAGTTATCAATTGTTTGTGCTTTTACAATAATAAGTGAAGGTGCTCCCTTGGGTCTAGCTGTAGAGATGAACTAATTTGTATTCAACTTTAGGCTTGTTAGGCCGCATAATTAACTGACTAACGCTAACGGCGCGTAAATTGACAAAACCATAAGCTCATCAAGCGCTGAGATTTCAATAGTTAGTCGTTTCCCGGAGATGGAACGGAGAAAACGCTTTCGTAATGGTGAGTCAAAATTGAAATAGAGAGTTTTCAGCTCCACTTTTTGTATGTGTGTATGTGTTTTGTTATATATCCGATTTTTAGCGCTAAATAAGAAGACATTTGTTGCTAGGGGATCGCATCTCTTATTCCTATTTTTATAAATAAACTTTCCACTCATTAGGAACAAGAATGGAGTTGATTTAAGAACCAAAAGAGCTAGGGTTTACTATAGAACCACCTGTTGTTTTCTATAGAATTTTTATACCCTGTGCAATACTTTTCACAGAGTCAAGTAAACAAAGATTGACATTTTTGCTCGATAGGCAGTTTTTCGCTTCGCTGAGCTTCGACCTCGTTTTCATGTTTTGCCTGAAAAATTAGTACGATCTCGCATTCGCTTAACCTCCTTTTCCCTTCTTTTGAAGTAAAGATTTTTCAGTTAACCTCCGCGTCTTGGTTTTGCTTATAACCGATTTTTAGTGAAAATAATTTAATGATTAAAGATTTTAATTTAGTATAATCTGCAAAGATAACACGTTCAAAAAATTTGCCCGCTTTTATTTTGAACACATAACAGTTTCCACAATATCCAATAAGAAAACTATCGAAAAAAGCTAATCATATAAAAATCACTTTTCTGTTTATAGATTATGATCACAACATTTTTTGATGACGTCAACTCCAGAAAATTCTGACGTCACTTGCTCCTTGCCTACTGAAAATAAACTATGACATAATCCATCTGAAAATAGTTATTCTGACGTCACTTGCTCCTTGCCAGCTAAAAATAAACTATGACATCATCCTATCTTAATGGAATGCATGACGTCATGGTCATTAATTTAAACTATGACATCATCCTATGTTAATGATATGTATGACGTCACCGGCGTTAATGTATTCCCCCGAAAGTTAATGGCATTCCCCCGCAAAGAAAAGGAGTAACCGGTCCCTCCTCTACTACTTATACTAGAGTAAACTCCTCAAATCCTCCCTATGCTAGAGTAGTTGTTTCCCTAGTCTAGATAAAATCTTTAACCAACTGATCGCTTTCCTGAAAAATGATACCCTATGCTAGACCCAAACGCTCTGATTTATATACCCTATCTTAGAGTAAACTGCTTGAAAACCATACCCTTCACAGCGACACATACCTATATAGCCCATGTATGGCAGTACCCCCCCGGGGTTTTAACATACAGTGTAACCAAAATAAAGTTTGACACCAGAATATTGATGCACTGCAATGGCGGAACAAATATACCTTATTGTTGTGGGATTCAGATCGTGAAAACAATGATTAGAGAATAAACAAAATCTAAATCTCTGACACTCTATTGACATTCTTTTCCAGTAACGTATCCTATTCTGTCGTAGCAGTTGGTCGTAGTTATTTCCATCGTTGCTAATTCAAACTTTTGTAAATTCTATGTTCCAGCTGAAGTGCATGTGAGGTAAATATGTTTTTATTTGAAAATAAAGTGATGATATACACTATTCCACTTTATCAGGTCAAGTAAAGCTTCTTAGACGACGCTTGTAGATGTGCTAATCTCTTTAATAATGCACACCGACACTTTCAAACATCTAACCCCTGCGGAGGGGAATGCCATGTTTGGTCGCTGTAAATGGTGGGTTTTTCAAGCAGTTAAGTCTAGGATAAGGTATAGTAATCAGAGAAGCAGTATCATTTATAAACAGTGATCAGTTGTATGAAGAATTGAAAAGTCTATTGCATAAATAATAAGGGATAGGGTAAGGATTTCTGGTGCTTATTCAAAACGCTCAAATTTCAGTTTCCCATCACCACACCTCCATCCAAGAATTCCCAAAGTACCTCCCCCTCTCCGGGTATCGAATAAACCTTACAATATTATGACACGTACTAGTATATAGTTTAATAAGGTCAAAACATTCAAGAAACAGAAAACAACAACCTAAACACCCGAAATGCAAAAGGACCTTGCCTGCGTAGCCAGCGTTTCCGCTCCCAGTTTTCGCGCCAAGACTCAAGCGGAACCGCATGCTTCGCAGGATACAAAGGAACGTAAAGTTAATTTTTACGTTATTACGCTGTACGATCAGCTATTTAGATTTCAACCTCTTTGCATGGCACAAGATGAAAACTGGTTCCCAGGGTGCTGAAGTATCTAATATGCAACCTGTCCAGGAGCGTCCTAGTCCTTCCGGCTTCCGTCTCCTGCTCCAAGAAGAAGATAGCCTGTACCAGGCTCTCAGATAGTATAGTGGGAACGTATTAAAACGAGCAAAGCGAAAATAAGACGCGCACGACTTAGGAAAGGGGGCGGTGGCGGCGGGAGAAATGGGAAATGTCTCTTCCCAGCCCCCGCGCGTTTTTCGCATTTCTTATTTGAACGACTTTCCACCACCATCTCGGAGCCTGGAACAGGCTAAGAAGAAGAGAGACACTGCACTGGCAGCCAAATTCCCGACAAAAATAAATTATACTTGTTTGACTGAAGTAAAATCCCGCTATTACAGACTCTCGCTAATGAGGACACTACCTCGAGGTCCGTACAGTGTCTGCAATAAAGGAGTTGACTGAGGAGACACGTGCGACGAGGGAAAATGTCTGCGCTTTTCGCTCGCCTGAAAAAAAAAACGCGAAAAAATTCAACGCCTTAACTTGGGTCTATCGATCGGAACATTTCAGCGAACAACAGAACATCTGAAAAGGTAGTCCTGTTTTCCCAGTCGGAATGTTCCAAACGGAGATTCGTGTTCGGCATCGTGTTCCACTTCTTCACAGCCATCTTTGATACCAGTTCGGCCTTCGCCGCCGTTTTCGGTAAATGCAACCGATTAATTTTTTTCATCATTATTCTTTTGCAAAATTTTTTGCTTACGATCTACCCAAACCGTGAAAAGACCGGTTTGCCCTTGTAAATGGTAAACAAAGATGTTTTTTAAGCAGTCCAAACACCTCTTCACCCACCCGCTTAGTTTTGTCTTTGCCACAGTGCCTTAAGAAATCACGTGACTTAGGCGAGCAGTTCATATCTTTGCTCCGTGGTGCTTGTTTCATTCGCTAAACATTCACCGTTTTGGGAGGTAAATAGCTTATATTAATCTTTCCGCCAGGAGACTAACTAATGGTATCCAACACTGAATCTGTCTTGCAATCGATGAATGATTTGACCGGTCGGTATTGAAATCAGTAACACTACAAATCACTTCCTGTTTGAGTGTAGAAGTTTAGCTCACAGACCTTGGACAAGTCTAATAAGCAGTCCGGAATATAAAACGAAGAGGTACGTTTCTTTGGTTGCTTTAAATTCTCTTTGGTAAAGATTTATTTCTCATTCAATGAGGGCTTTTTCTAGAAATAAGACCTTTAGTGAAAGAGGTAAGGCGACTCAAGTAGCATGTTGGTACATGTAGTACAAGTATCTTCAGTACCTTTCCGTCGCGTCTACCAACTCACGAGAAACAAAAGTACTGTACCGGTATTTTTATAAAATGACGGATTTATTATAGATTCAGTGTTCGAATACGAGTAAACACAACCAAGAGAGTAACCTGTTCCACATCTCTTCGCGCCTTCCCACGATCTGTACGCCTAGAACCCGGCCGGGGTAGTTTCGCAAACGAAGCACTCGAAAACGAAGACCGAAGCACGAAGCACCCAAATCTCGAAAACGAAGAACCCTAGATCGAAAGCGAAGCACCCTAGATCGAAAACGAAGCACCCAAAACTCGAAAACGAAGACCCCTAAATCTCGAAAACGAAGCACCCAAAACTCGAAAGCGAAGCACCCAAAACTCGAAAACGAAGCACCCTAGATCGAAAACGAAGCACCCAAAAACTCGAAACCGGTCTGTCCTTTATAAACACGAGACCAATGCTAATACAGCAGGAATCAAGCACGATAACGAATTCTCCTGTTCCCCACCATAGAGCCAGTGGTCCCAGGCTGTTATCCTAGAACAAATTCTGCCTGGATCTGATCTGATCTGATCACGCAGTGTCATAGATATCCAATATGTTAGACTGCAAAACAATCGGTTTTTTTTCTCAAAATCAGTAAAGAAGTCGGTAAAACGTGGCGTAAGAGTAATGCGCGCGAGCCTCACACTCCGTTTTCAGCCTCGTTTCAGACCTTTTGTGTTACTGCTCACGCGTACTTGAATACGCCAAAATCTGCTGACGCACAGTTTTGAAGTCTACATAAACATGTATCTATTTTCGAGTTTTGAGTGCTTCGTTTTCGAGATTTAGGGGTCTTCGTTTTCAAGTTTTGGGTGCTTCGTTTTCAAGATTTTGGGGTCTTCGTTTTCGAGATAGGGTGCCCCGTTTTCGAGATAGGGTGATTCGTTTTCGAGTTTTGGGTGCTTCGTGCTTCGGTCTTCGTTTTCGAGTGCTTCGTTTTCGACACTACCACCTGGCCGGGGCGGCTGAAACAGGCTAATGGTCCCGTTGCATCGTAACGTAAATGATTGAACCATTTTAACCATGTTAAAGGTGCGGCACTTATTTTAACTACAGTTAAAACACTGAGGGGAATATAGAGAGAACTCAGAGTTGTGCAAGAAAAAGGATAACCCCCGAGGATGTACTTTTCCATTCAGAGCCCCCCTCCTGTCCTAACAAGGGTGGGTGTTTATGTGTAAATACCCAAATTAGCGGCGCGGCACCTATTCGAGAGCGGCACTTATTAAATTATGTTTGGTAGGGGTACTGCACTTATTCGAGTAGCGGCGCTTAATTGATCATTTACGGTATGCTCTTCTTGACAAAACCTAATCCTCAAGATTATATATCACTTATGGATAGCCATTAGACCGTTTTCAGTCCCCAATTTTTCAGTAAGATCGTTGAGATGGAGCGCTTTGGGTTATGAGAAGCCATCTTGGATGAGGGAGCAGGGAACGGTTTGGGAGGATGCCAAACTGCCCCTCGCCCCTTAAGAAAGGAGGATATTACCATCTTCTGTTTTACAGTAGTGTTGGAGGACAACAGTGTTTGAAGTTGCGAAAGACACGTACATATGTTGGCATATACACCAGCTCAGTAAGATATCTACCGGTCATGTTAATCACAGATGTAATTATATGTCGCGTGCCAAGTTTCAAGCAGCCAGATTCTTTGAGAAGAAGAGAAAGTAGGTGGCAGGCCAGCGAAGCTCAATGAGAAAAAGGGTGACAGAGGTCTAGAGCGAGAGATAAAAAACAGCGGAGACATTTTTTTGTTGGAAGAACAACATGAAAATTTTGCAGTGGCGGTGACAAAATGGGAAATGCTAGTGGCCACCATATGCAAAGTGAAAATGAGCAGCAGTGAAAAAAAAAGTGAACGAGAACAGGTACAACATTTCCTCCATAAAACGTGTAACTAAGAAGTTTCTGGAAGTTTCACGTTGTAGTCGTGCAAAACAACAGCAAAGAAATGTACAAAAAAAAATGTCCTGCACTTTCAAAGTCGCTTTTTTTGCTAATTAGACCTATAGTGTTGTTTTTCACTGTTCTCCAGTGTTGCCTTTGCCGCTTCGCATTACAGGATTTTATATTTTGTTTGAACAAACTATAAATATTATTGAGAGCTTTGCTTTTAGCCCTGGCTAAATCTATATTTTATTGTGAGGAGATCCAAAATACAGATGTTCTTTTCGAATATTAAATTAGATCAAAACTAGGAGGCCAGCAATAATAAATTTTGTTATGTTTGACTTAAGACACAGCTGTGTTTATAATGTATTGTTGCTCATGGTGTATAGGCTGAATGGCTGTCCTCAGTCTGTTGAAAAGATATTCTTGACATGCATTGTACAGTTCGTGTAACTGTAGTTGCTGCATATTGTTGTATTGAAGAAGATAATTGTACTGTAAGCTGCAAGTGTTGCCTGATCTCCTCATCACTTTTTGAAGCATCGGCAGTAGGTGTTCCCTCTCTTCATTGGCTTCAATTACAGTGTAATCGTAGTATTTTGTCACTACATGTACCTCTGTATATGTTTGTGATCGAGCAGGCGCTGTGTTCGCAGCTTCGCAGCTTCTTGTTGTGGTGGTCTTCTCCGCTCGCAATGAATTTTAGTTGGCATTTTTGAGAGCTAGAGCAGTTTTGGTGGAAAATCTTTTCCACAGACTTGTTGTGCTTGTTGTTCTGTGTCATTTGCATGGGAAATTGCTTGTGATATTCACCGACCGTAAACATTGTTTCACAGACGATGAATAAGCACATCAGCCCTTCATGAATACAACATGAAAGTGTGCCTTGGTAATCGGCAACAAGTCTATGTTGCGTGGAAACACAAAATACTCCATGACGTAACGCTACATATATCATGACGTCATTGTCGGACACCAAGCATATATTCATAGTAAGAGAGATTGATGGGGCATCCAATTTTGCAGCTGACTAAGACCATGCATGATTCACATGTTGCGTGCGACGAGATTATAAACTCGCTTTGTGATAATTATTTATTTCATTGCGGACCCCTGCAACAAGGCCAGTTTATCAGCTTTTATCTACATGCAGAGTTTGGTAAGCAAAATGTTAGACTTGAGAAGGGCAACTATAGCTACCTCATGAAATTCTATTGTACAAGTGATACAGTTTATGCGGAGTTTAATGGTTATGGACTATTTTGTGTATCTCTCTTGTGCGCCCTTGTTTTTTTCTCTGCGGCAACACTTTGAAATGAGTCAAACACTGGGATTCAGCCGTTGATAATATAGTTATTGACCACTTATGCTTGACAGAAAGATGGTAATCCTCCTTTCCTCTAAGTAGTTTTGATGCCCATCCAAGATGGTTTCCTGGCCTGCGCCGTAATACAAAGGGCTCGATCTTGACGATTAGGAAACAATGGTCTGCATTGTGTACAAATATGTAGTGTGAATTTATGTGGTCATAATAATAGCAAGGGTTTGTTTGGTCACTGCTTTTTTGTCTGTTGTTATTGTTGGAATGCTTTTTTCTATTTTCTGTATAACAAAGAGAGTTTGATTGGGCTTATCTGTTTCTGTGAATAGCCTCTCCATCTACGGTGTCTCTTTAAAACTTTTCTTAAGAGGAATAGGCCACTTCAAAGAATACCATAGTATTCTCAAAATTGTCATTTGGGTAGTACTTCATGTAAACCTTACTTTTGCATTATCTTTTGGCATGATTTGCACATGCAATGCAGGTCAGTTTGTTAAAAATTTGCATACTCAGCGTATTTCCCATGCAAGGGCAAAGTATACTTTATTAATTTTGTCTTTCATTACATTCAGGGGTTCGGCAACAACAGAATTAAGTTGGAAGTTCTCTTTAATCAGAGAAAAATGCAAGGTGCTAGATGTGCAAATGCAACACTCCTTTTCATACTCTGAATTCTATTTTAGAAACTGGTAATTGCACTTGCATTTCATGCAAAGAACAAAAGATAATGTGAACTTTAGGTTTACATGAAGCTCTAAACAAACGGCGATTTGAGAATATTATGGTATATTTCACAGTGGCCTATTGGCTCTGAGTAGCCAGTGCTTTACCTTTGCCTTTGATGATGCCATTACCCCCAGCTCTTGGGTGGCAAGATGAGAATTGTATATTAGGAGGGAGCTTAAGCAACTACGACGATGACCACAATGACAACTTCAAAAAAAACAATAGGTTTAATGATCAAAACAACAGCTCTGCACATGCAGCACGATTTTTAGTACATTTTTTTGACGTCCACTGTACAACTTTGAAGTGAAACCTCCCAATGCGATGTTTTATGGAGGACCTCGTCCTCGGAGACCCAGGGGCAGTCAGTCGGGTCAGGGGAAAAAAGTGAGATGAAAGTTTTCAAGTATGGGCGAAAGAGCCCCTGAGTACCGACTCTCACTGAGCTATTTCCAAAAATTTAAGCGGATGCCGGCTCCTGATTGGGCACAAAAAATGCTTTGTATTATTGTGCCCAATCGGCAAACAGTTTCTCCTGAGTTCTTTTTGTGAGTTCGTACACAACGGCTAAGTGTCTCGATCACGGCTTGTCTGGCTCATGCACCACAGAAGTTCACACAGTCAGGAAACTTTCAGTTTGATATAAAATCCCCATCTGATTTCAAAATACTGTCTGCCCGAAAACTAAAGACGCTTTTCCAATAATACAAGCTTGAGCTTACAACAGGTATTCACACTTGCATCTGTCACGTCTTGTGTAAATATTAGGGAGTTTTTAAAAGATACCACGACGACTGACAACCACAAAAACATTGCATGGAAAATGGAATTCACACTTTTTCAGTTTCTATCGTGATTATTCCAATTAACTCACTTACTTTAATTTGTCAAATGCAAGCAAACTCTTCTAGAGCTGAATTTCTATCAACCATATCCAAGTTCATGAAGAGAATGAATTTTGTCATTGCTTGTTTACGTCCCTCACAAAACATGTCTGATTAGGCATTTTCATGGGTAGTCATGCAGTTGACCGCAAAGAAATGTACAGAAACGTGTGATGCATGGCAAAGCTTTTTTTTGCCTTACTCAAGCTATTTCTTATTTGACTTTCTTCTCCCGACCAGACTGACTGCCCCTGGGTCTCCGAGGAGGGGAGGACGTGGACATATGACAACAAAACTCCTTCCTCTTTTTGAACCAGATTAAATTCCTTAAGAATTCAACTCCAGGAAACATCGTGGGCATTTGGCATATTGAGCAGCTACAAATAGATGCGATTAAGTTTGAAAGAATGCAAATTCATTTTTTTACTGACGTTTTCACTGCTGTCATTGTCGTCCTTGCTTAAGATCCCTAGTGTCATTTATTTGTAATCATGATTCTGACCTCATATTACTAAAGTAAATCTATTATCGATCTAACATAGTTTGTCGATAGTTTATTGGGGCATTTCAAAAGCTGCAGTTCTTGAAGCCTTTTTTGGACTTGACCAAGATGGGCCGGAAGCATTTTTTACTTCTGAGTTCAGAATTAAATGGTCACTGATGCGATTCTGTTGCTCTTTTTTTGGGAATTTTTTTTTCTAATTTCATATTTTTCGACAGACAATTTCACCTTTTTCACTTTTCAGATAGCAATACCTATATATTTAGGTACCTAAATTTCACATCATTAATTTTCTTTGCACTTTGGTGGGCTAGAAATAAGTTTGGTGTGATTTTCTCCTTTGTTTTAACACAGTTTTCACTTTCACTTGTCGCTTACGCAGGCCTGCTGAGGGGGTCTTTTTTAAATTTTATTATTCACAAGCGTTTTAATTCACAGAGCTGAAACTTCCGTTCTAGTTAAAAGAATCACAGCTCTTTCATGTCATTTTATGTTATGTTATCAATTATTTTAATTTTGCGACATACATGTACCAGAATGGACTTTTTGCAGTTAAAGTTGGGCTTTATTTCGATGGACAAAACAGCACACAATCAATTAAGGTGTAAACAATGAAAGCCAAAAACTTTATTATAATTTAAGTTATTTTGCGAGACATTAAATTATTTTATTGCAGCCTTTAAGCTTTGAGTAATTGGTAAATACATGTGCAATATATATCAAGTCAATATATAGGAGCTTTTGCACGCTTGTACTACTGCTGGAAGATTGTTGAAATTTACAGCATTTTCACGAATAAGAAAAAGTATTTTTATGGAGTTTTGGAACTTTTTTTCCGTTCTAAAAATTCAAATTTTGAAATTTGCAGCATTTTCTTGAGTAAAAAAGTGTATTTTTATGGCGTTTTGGAACTTTTCCAAATTTCTCAAAATGTTAAGCACTTGGGGATTGTTCTTAATATCATTTCTTGAAATAGTTCACCTAAAAACAACTCCATAAAAATACAAAATACAAAAATACAAAAATGCTGCAAATTTCAAAATTCGAATTTTTAGAACTGATTTGAGATTCTCAATATTTTCCGACGTTGGCTCTTAAGACCTCATGACTTAGCATTTTGGTCTGAGCAGTGACTGCAGGACACATGAACAGGTTTTCTTGCCTTCGACCGAAACTAGAACAGCAGTCACTTATCCCATATTTTTAATTGTATTTCTTTTCCACTATTTTCTGTCTTGTATTTTAATGAGAGCATACATTGTATATTTGATATTTTAAGAAGTGCACGGTTTCACCCCCAAATTCCCTTCCCTAATTCCCTTTTAAACTCCAGCCACACAGGCTACCTCTCAATAAATGGTGCATCTCCTGGTAACTTTCTCACACATAAGTTTCACGGTAATGTGCAATGTAAACTATATGATGTGAGGAAGATGAGTTTTTTTTTTCTGAAAGGCCGTTAATTATTACATGCATAGTTGATACATTTTTTAACCGTTTTTTCTACCTCTAGTTTCAAAAACTCTTGCTAAAAGAAAACTCTCTCTTTCATTGCTATGATGATATATACCTGTAGGTGGAAAACAATAAAAATCTCAAAGAGGAAACAGAACAACATTCTATTCCTGTGTTGACTAGAAATTGAAGTCCTTCGTTTTCATGCCCTCTGCTACACCTACAACTTCGTCTACAAAAGAGACAACTAATTATGCCAGATTATGCCGTGTTCTTGTTGATAAGGGCACTTGTGCCCTCAGGGACTGCTTTGATACCATCTGTTCACCACCAACTCTTCACACGGTTTTGACAGTCAGTCAACCTACATTGCAGTCTCTTAGATCACGAAGAATTATCAACGCAACACAATGGGGAAAACTTTTTCCCGCAGTCCCTGCTTCAGTATCTTCAAGAGATTTTGATATCACCTTACTTATGATTCTCTTAAGAAACATATGTGGTCTGGCTCCACCACTTGCGGGATGGGACGCCCTGCCTGCAGCCACGGAAATCAGCCGTGAAGCAGATATTGCACGTATCAAATACCTCAGAAATAGCATTTATGCTCATGCTGATCACGCTTCTGTCGATGATGCAACATTCGACACACACTGGAAGGAAATTCGAGACACTCCAGTACGGCTAGGAGGAACTACATACAAGGTAAAGTAGACCCATTAAATACAATAGCATGCTAATGGGGACAGACAAGAAATTTAGGACAAAAAAAATCAGGCACAAGAAAGGACGTAAAAACAATTTAAGCAAGCTCTGTTAATGCTCATTGGATTTGCATATGAACAGGTAATTTAAAATAAAAGAAAAAATGGAGAGTTTTACATTGTATGTAGACGTTATTATAAATCTGCAATGAAGACATTTCAGGACCATTTTAATCAGTTAATCAGACAAGGATCGTGCATTCAGCACTCATGATAACACCCCCACTACAAAAAAAACCTAGCTACAGCCCTGTTAGCGGTATTAATATGACGTCATCTAGGAGAGGCACCAACCACAGCCACCCCACATGGCTTAATTCATGCTCTCAAGATTTGTTTATCTCAATGCACTATTGCTTCGAATTAAAACTTGATTTGGTTATTAAATTATACAGATTACGATCAAAAAAATAAAAAAAGCAGTAGACCTGGTGTATTTGTCTATTTCAAGGTCGCTATTGACAACCTGGAATTTTGCTGCATGGATCCCGATATGGAGGACCATTACAGAGACCTCCTACATCAGTGGAAAAATGATGAAGACAGCATAAAAGATGAATTGAAAGAAATTGGCACCACCGTAAAAAACCTGACAAAGAAGCTTGATCACTTGGTGGCATCAACGGGGACTCTTGTGGAACAATCAAGTGATGAAGATGGTGAGTATATAGAGAATGTGAATGAAAAATTTGTATTTGAAGCTATCTAAAACTGATGATGTGATATAAACCTGAAACCTGGGGGGGTGGTGTTGGGGGTTGGTGGGGTTACTCCCCTTATATTATGCCATATAGGTATCTACTGCCCTAAAGAGTATTGGTTTTTGTTCCTTTTTGGTTTGAAAACAGGTATTACACTGTCCCCATTTTGATCTGGAATCAGGTGTGGTTTTCGAGGAAGCATACGCTGTATGAAAGTATTTATCATCTCAATTTCAAATGAAAAGAAAGAAATACTGAGAAATATGCAAGTTCAAAATGCATTTCAAGAAATTCTTTGTTTGCGCTCTGTTCTAAGCAATTATGACATAATTTTTGTCCAAAGGCCAGGTCGGAAAACGGGTGTGAGAAATGACATTTTTTGGTCTGAAAGAGGGTCAGGAGAACCATGCAGCACACCCCCACCAAGAATTCCCAAACCTCGCCCCCAGGACTGAAACCATACCAGGTATTAAAAACTAGTTGTTGTTGTTGTTGTTTTTTCACTCATGTTAAGAACAAATGTCGCTAAAGATTGAGCAAAATTGGAACTTGGTCAAACAAAACCTACCCTCATACTTTCTGTGTATAGTTAGTACTTCAGATGACACTACTCATTGTGGAATTTGATACATTTTTGCATGCCAATCAAATGATAATGTATACCCAAAAGAGTTATTAATTTTTGCAACTTTTGCTCGCCACTATCTCTTTATTAAATAACGTTACTGGGGCGTGCGTTAAGCAAGAATGTTTTTAACGGTTCCTATAGTATTCCTTTACATTTTACAGTCAGTTATTGAGCAGATTAATGATTTATGGTTTACAAAAATGGGCATTGTGTGGTTAGTGGTTAATTTATGCAAATTACTGCCCCCAATATAACTTGGCAGGAAAATCTAATATGATGTTTTTGAGCAAAATAAATCATTTCAAATGGATGTTTAACAAATAACTGACACATAATTAACATACACCATTAACAAAGCAATCAATGCGAGAAACATTTCAGAGCCAAAGTCAAATCACACAAGTCACCATACAATAATGCATGTCGTCGCATGCAGATCCCTTTTCTCATCTTCAGTGCATATCTACAAAGTTTCCTTAATTCACATCCCTGCCAAATTACTGTTAGCTGCTTACGATGGGCAGAAACGTATTTTTCCTCACCTTGCGTGAAAACGGTATTCTGTTGGATTCTCTTACATGTCAACACCATGTCTCAAGGTAATGTATCTTAGTCATGCAGTGTGTCATGTCATAAGTGCCACATTGATTTTCCAGTTCTTCCAGTCCTCAAAATATGAATGCTAGAATCTTCATGAATTTGTGTAAGTTTTATTAAGTATAATGTCAGAAAAACAGTGTTCTGTTTGCGGGGCAGCTGCTGATCAAAAAGTTTTAAAGCGGACTTGTCTTCCTGAATTTGTAATGATTCCTTGCTCCTATACGTAGAACAAGGCGAAATTGAATTATCGCCATTTATGATCATCGGCCTGAAGGAGTTGATGATCTTGAAGTCTGAGTCAGATTTTTTAGATAACATTTTTTTGTGGCACTTTTGTGTTTCGTGTCATGCAATTTAAGGTGAGAGACAAAGTCGCTAAAGTAGCATTATATTTACAGGCTGTGCATTGGGGGAAAAAGAAAAAAATCGGTGTGTGTGAAAACAAATTGGCAAGGGAAGCGAACCGAGAGGTAATCTGGGGAGGGGACATGGTGGCGCCCTTCAAGCCACCCCCCTCCTCCCCCTAGACCACTGCTGGGTTCTCTTCGCTTGCCGATATTTTGCCTATTTTGCCTTTTTCCCCACTGCAGAGCCTGATATTTACATTATAATTATTCTAACTTTGTGGGATTTAATTTGATGCAGGGGGCCAGTCACACAATACGATTTATGCTCTACATTGTTTCATGCTTGGTATCTACTGTATGACTATGAGCCGGTCCTGTAAGGGGAGGCGGGTTTTGCCAAATCCCTGGCACAAGAGATTGCGGCACATAAACAATTTGTGCAAAAGGAGACTGGGAACTATTAAAATGCTCCACTTGCCAAGCAGATATTTTTTATGACCACTGCACCAAAGTCTTTTCTCAAGTATCCTACAAGCTTTATTGTTAAAGTCAATTTAATTGAGGAGCACAAAACAATTATGAAATGCTGAAGATTTACCTTTTTACATACCATTTTTAACAGAAAATTACCCCCTCTGTATATCTTTCTATTGACAAATGGTACCCCTTTCACATGCCTAGTTTAGAACTTTGCATCCCTCTTAACGGCTGTAAATGCACTGTCTTTAAAATATGAATAAATCACAAAACCAGAACATTAAGTTCTCAACGTTTTTCACAGCCATGAAATGCATCTGTTAGCCGTTTTTTGGCTTTTTTAGCAACCGAAATGGCAGTGCTCCGTACCCGTTCATATACTTGGAGCCTGAAAGTGGTACCCCTTTCGGGTGGAGCCTCACCATATAGGACATTTTAGGGAGTAATGTCCGATTCAAACAGGTCAAACAATGCTCAATTAACACTTTCACAGGGGTCTAAGTCTACATAAAATGGGGCTCACTGTTTTTCGGACGTCATACTTAATAAACCTTTCATGAATTCTGGAAGATTTTAATATTTGTACAGTAGACAAAAGAAGTGTTACCCCTTATGCAGACTGTCTGCATGGGAGGCTAAAAGAAGTACAGATACTGTATTATACAGAAATCATGGTAATAGTCTCAAAGGTAGTGCTTATGATGTGACATTGCATGACTAAGATACATTACCTGATCACAGCCACCTGGAAAATTGCTCCAGACAATCCGACAGAACACCATTTTCTACATCTTCTTCTGCAGTGAAGAAAATTATGTCAGTCTTTCAATAACCAGCTGCAGTAATTTGACAGGTTGTCAAAATGAAAGAAACCTTAGGGGTGTGCATTGAAGATGAAAGATGGAGAGTCAATGCAACGACATGCATGGATAAGACCTAACCGTGACTTGTGTGTGATTTGACTTTGGCTCTTAAATGTTTCTTGTAATCGATTGCTTTCTTAATGGTATGTAATGTGTCTGTTATCTATGAATAATTCCATTGATTCATTTTGTTGGAAAACGTCATATTTAATAACTGACTGTAAAATGTAAAAGAGTACGATCGATAGGAACCATCCAACATTCTTGTTTAACATGGCCCCAGTAACATTATTTAATAGAAAGATGGCAGCAAGCAAAAGTTGCATCAGTAAAATTACTATTTTGTCTCAGGTATACATTTTCATTTCATTGGCTTGTAAAAATTGTTTCCAAAGAGCATGGGCCTTGAAAAGTCCTTGAAAATTGAAAAGTTGTGGGATACCCTTGAAAAGTCCTTGAATATTTTTGAAAGCTTCTTGAATAAAAATGACCTTTGTTAAAAAAAGGTTTTTGTGCAAAGGAAGGATTGAAAGGAGAGCCGTGCACACATTTTCTTGGTGATCATGAAAGTATGTTTTCCTATGATTTCAATGTTCCCGGCATGGTTCTTTTTCCGTTATTTGAAGGACCTTAGGCACGGTACCTTCCTGGGGGAAAGTATTGCAATGAGCAGAATTCCCTCCACCTACAAATTTGAAAGGTGTCTACTTCATGTCATTCTATGTCAAATTAAAGGGAAAAGAAGTCTTTCGGCCTTGAAAAGTCCTGAAATATTTACATCCTGTTTCAATTTTGATCTAAATCAGGGTGCTAGTGAGAAAAAAATGTCTATTTTTCAGCCCCGTCAAAAAATATCCCCCTCCCCTTGTAAATGACATTGAACTGGGGCCATCAGGAGGCCCGCGATAAAAACTGATAAAATTTTTATTGAGAGGAAGGGTGATATTTTGCTATAATGCAAACCGATTTTTAGCTGTTTGTCAGCTTTCTGAACTATTTACCTAACAAAACTGCATTTTTCAAGGAAAAAAATTGTCCAAAAAAGTGCAATTTTTGGCCCAAACCTCCCCTGATGCCCAGTACAGGTTTTTGTTAGAAGTCAAACAAATGCCACAGTGAGTAGTTTCATCTGAAGTACTAACTACACACAAAGTATGAGGGAAGGTTTTGACTGACCATTTCTAATTTTGCTCAATCCTTCGTTCTTAAAAAGTGCCCTCCCCCTCGCCACCTCC